CATTTTAGAGAGACGGTTGTCAGATCTGCAGAAGTAGCAAGTTCACTGTGTCAATTCCAGAGAGATTGTTATCTAGATGTTGCCGTGCCTTTTCTCGGGCTTCCCTAGCAGTCAGGGTACATGCCAGGTTTCAAATCGCCCCAGGGTTTTTCGCTAGGAAAATAGATCCAGGCTGTCCTGAAACATTGTGTGGCAGCGTAGCGTAGTGTCAGACTAGAATCTAGAAAATCTGGCTTCAAAACTCCATTCTCAGTGGGGGACATGGGACAGGCGCACCCTCTCCGATTACCCGACCTCATAGGGTTGTCAAGAGGATAAAACAAAAGAGGAGAGAGACAGAAACACCCTGCACTTCTCCTCTCTCATTACACTAGAACCCCTAAGAACATAAGAGACGCCAATGTTGGATCAGGCCAAAGGCCCATCCAGTCCAACACTCTGTGTCACACAGTGGCCAAAAATACCAGGGGCCATCAGGAGGTCCAGCAGTGGGGCCAGGACATTAGAAGCCCCCCCATTGTTGACCCCCCCCCAAGCACCAAGAAGACAGAGCATCACTTGCCCCGGAGTCCCTATCTATACCTTGTGGCTAATAGCCACCGATGGACCTCTGCTCCATATGCTTAGAAGAAGAAGAGAGATTGGATTTATACCCCACCCTTCACTTGGAGTCTCAGAGCGGCTTACAAACTCCTTTCCCTTCCCCTCCCCACAACAGACACCCTGTGAGGTGGGCGGGGCTGAGAGAACTCTGAGAGAACTGCTCTTTTTCAAGGACAGCTGTGCCAGAGCTTGTGACTGACCCAAGGTCACATCAGCAGGTGCAAGTGGAGGAGTGGGGAATCAAACCCGGTTCTCCCAGATTAGAGTCCGCACACTTAACCACTACACCAAACTGGCTTACCTAATACCCCTAGGGTCATCTGCGTGAAGGGTAGGAGATCCAGGACAGACAGAAGGAAGTGCTTCTTTGCACAGCGCCTAGTTCAGGTGTGGGACTCGCTGCCACAGTATGTGGTCATGGCCGCCAACTTGGATGGCCTTAAAAGGGGAGTGGACAGATTCATGGAGGACAGCACTATGAATGGCTGCTAGTCATGATGGATATCTGCTCCCTCCAGTAGCAGAGGCAGTGTGCCTCTTTATATTAGTCGGTTGCTGGGGAGCACAGGCAAGAAGACGCTATTGCAGTCGTCCCGCTTGCAGGCGTCCTAGAGGCAGCTGGTTGGCCACTGTGGGAACAGAATGCTGGACTTGATGGGCCTTTAGTCTGATCCAGCAGGGCTCTCCTTATGGTTTTATGCACATTGTGTATTCTCGTTTAAACATGCAGCCCAGTGTTCCCTCTAAGCTGAGTTAGTGTGAGTTAGCTCACAGTTTTTTAGCCTCCAGCTCACACATTTTTGTCTTAGCTCAGGAAGGATGCCTCCAGAGCAAACTAAGGTATGCAGTAACCAAATCGCTGGCTCACAACTTTAATGCTAGTAGCTCACAAAGTAGAATTTTTGCTCACAAGACTCCACAGCTTAGAGGGAACATTGATGCAGCCTATCTATATCACAAGAGTTCAGAAAGCACACCTACGTGTTACGGGTCTGAGTCATGGATCAAACCTATCAAGATGCCCAGATTATGTGGAAAATCTTCAAAATTTGTGAAACCCTGCTGAGCTGCTTCCGTTTGACTTTTGCAGGGACACCCTTGGGAAGTGCCACTTCTTACGAGTAGAGATCACTCTAAAGGGAGCAACATACCGTGTCTCGTTCAGTGACACCGATCAGTTACCACCTCCGTTCCGCATAGACAATTTTTCTAAGGTAAAGAACTTTCACTTTGGGTTAATAATAGATACAGGTATGTATGACGGTTTGGTATGTATGACATATTTATTTTAATTTTATTTATTTAGAACATTTTTATGCCACCTTTCCACCCAAATAGGTCCCCGAGACAGAGAACATCAAAACATTAAACATTTAGAATATTAAAACAATGTATGTAAAATATTTAACAATACAATAAAAATATAGAGACACGCGAAGACAACAGAGACAGGGAGGAGGGCCAATAGGAGTTTATTGGGGAGCACCAAACAAAACAAAAAGGGCCTCCACCCTCTGGCGGAGGGCAATGACAGAGGAAGACAGATGGATCTCCCTGGGGAGGGAGTTCCAAAGTTTCAGAGACTACTATTGAAAGGAGCAGGGGTCATTTCGTAGAAAAAGTGGTGCAGGAGCTCATTAGGATAACTCATTAGCATAATTTATTTGCATATGCCACACCCCTTGACATCACCGGAAGTGTCAGAATGCAACACCCAGCGCTCAGGCTCCACTGGACTGTTTTGGATTGTTAGCTATTGGGGGGGGGGACGTGCAGATCTGTCCTCGCAGAGGAGGGAGAGCTTGTACCTGAATAAAACTTGGTCTTAAAGGTGGCACTGGACTGCTTTGGACCGGGGGGCCGAGGGGAGCTCTGCAACTTACCTGGCTGCTTCTTGCTCTGACTGAGGGCTGCTGGGAGCAGGGGGCGGGGCTTGTTGCATGTGCCCGCCCCCTGGGCTCTTTACTGCCGGAGCTCCGCTCCTGTGCGCTCCTGCAGGAAATGACCCCTGGAAAGGAGTGGCCTGACCTGGATAACCCAGGCTAGCTCGATCTCATCAGATCTCAGAAGCCAAGAAAGGTTGGCCCTGATTAGGACCTGGATGGGAAACCAGTCTGTGATTGCTGTGCAGAGGCTGGGCCTGGCAAAACACCTCTGAATGTCTCTTGCCTTGAAAACCCTACAGGGTTGTCATAAGTTGCTGCAACTTGACAGCGAAAAAGCAAAAGCAATGTAGTGTGAACCTGGGTTCAAATTCCAGTTTTGCCACCAATCCATTTGGGGCGACCTTACACGGTAGCATCCACCACAGCATTTCCCTACTTCGGTTTTACTTTGGAACAGTGAAGACTGAGACGGGCGCAAACCGCTCCACATCTCACGGCACCTGCCCTCCCTCTTCCCACAGGTCCCCCTTGTGTTTACGCAGCTCAGTGTGGCGGAACCGCGGCTCAGCACAGAAGTCAAGCCGACAACCTCTTTGGACTATGCCTGGGATGAGCCCACCCTGCCGCCTTGCATCACATTGACCGTTAAAGGGGCCGGCTCCTCTGAAATCACATGCAGCATGGACGACTTTCAGGACAGCAAGCAACTCTATTACGAAAATTTCATCTACATTGCTGCCGCATACACTTTCTCTGGGTAATCTGCTCTCTTATCTTATGCTGAAATGGTAGCATTGTTTTTATTTTGCTTGATGCCAGCCTTTATCATGTTTTATTCTTGGTTACGAGAAACTGTGGTGCTATGCTTTTTTCCCCCTGGCCTGGCAATGGGTGCATTGTGTTGGGGCTGGTTGTTATGTCACTTGCCTGAAAGTTTCAAAAGTCAGCGTGGCCTAGAGATTCGCGTGTTGGACTAGTATTTGATCTTACTCAGATAAGCTGTTAATTGCCATTACTGCATAATCCACAAGTTTATTTTCCCATTCTTCTAAACTTGGACAGATGTCTGGTTTCCATTTTGCCGCATAGATAATTCTAGCTGCTATTACTATATATTCAAATATCTCTTCCAAAACGTATGGTAATTTATTAGGCAGTGTTCCTAATAACATACTCTTAGCTTCCATGGGGAATTCGAATTGTAAATATATTCTGCATGTTTCCATGTATTTCCTTCCAATATCTGTTTGCTTTTTTACAAGTCCACCATATGGTAAAAAGTTCCATTTATCTCTTGACATTTCCAGCATTTTCCTTTGTAATTTCTATCTACTTTCTCAATATCCTTCAGGGTAAAATACCATCTGAAAAACATTTTATACCAATTTTTTTTTTAACGCCTGGCTGGCTGTAAACTTAATGTCCTTTTCCCATAACCGTTCCCATTGATGCATAGGTATTTGCTCTCTAAAGTTCTGCATCCATTTAATAATACATTTTTTTCACTTCTTCTGTTTCTAACTTAAGTAATATCTTGTATATCCATCATAATAGGTGAACTTTCTGTTTTGTCATCAGCTGTTTGAACTCAGTCATATCTCTTATAGCTCTCTCTTCCATGTTAATGATCTTCTTTCATCATGAAAGTATATATAATAGCCATTGAATATTGATTCCTTCATCTCTAATATCTTGCCAGGACTTAGGTTTCCCTGGAGCATGTACTATATTACCATACATTTAAAAAACACTTTTATTTCTCATATATTTGCCAAAATGAGCTTCCATTGGGGACATAAGTGGAGAATTTGGAGGACTTGATACATTACGACGCTTAAACCATATTCTCAAAAGTCCATCTCTAATTATGTGACACTGCTGCTTGGTAATATAATTTTATATTTGGAATTGCTAATCCTCCTCTCTTTTTCTCATCTTGACATAATTTGAAGCTTATTCTTGGTTGCTTGCTGTTCCAAATAAATTTATTTATTTATTTGTCTTTCCCATTCTGTCAGTATTCTTCAATGTGTATAGGTCGCATTTGGAATAGAAAATTTAATTTTAGCAATACATTCATTTTGATTGCTGAAATTCTGCCCAGTCATGAGATTTTTAATTTTTTTCTATCCGGATACATCTTGTATCAATTTCCAGGTCGTCTGATAGTTATTTTTGAAAGGATTACAGTTTTGTCCAATCTTGTTTATCCCCAGATATTTAATAGAATCAGAGGCTATTGTACATTCTGTACTCTTTATGGTATCTTCTTCTTGTTGTTGTGTTATAAAATTATCATTTTTTACTTCCTGTTGATTTTGTATCTTGAAAGGGACTCAAATTCTTCAGTATATTCAATTACATACGGTAATGATTTTTGTGGATCCAAAACTGTTAGGACCACGTCCTTTGCATAACTTTTCATTTTAAATTCTGTGTTGTCCACTTTTATTCCTTTAACCCTCATGTCCTGTCTGATCTTTATAGTTAAAATCTCCTTCACTAAGATAAATAATAGAGGTGATAAAGGACAGCCCTGGCGTTGTGTGGTGTGTTATTTTGAGCTCTTGGAATTTCCATCCTAGATGTTCTTTTATGGGTGAAAACTTGAGTGCAGAGGGCTTTGATCTCCAGCGGAATAATTTCTAACGTATCCAGTGCCAGAGTGTTCTTAAATGGTTCAGCGCTGAACAGACTTTTTTTGGGCACTGACATTCAGGTCCTGTCGATGCTAGGAAGAATACGATGGATGCTCTGATGGGAACACGTTTGACATTGATATTCTAATAAAGTTTGAGTGGCATCTTTAAGGCCTGCAAAGTTTAACTCTGGGTATAAGCGTTTGTGTGCATACCCAGAATTAAACTGTGTTGGTCTTAAAGGTGCCACTGGACTCAAACTTTATTCTGCTGCTTCAGACCAACACGGCTACCCCACCTGATACAAAATAGTAACATTGGTGCATTTTATTTTGATCGTCTGACAAAACCTTCTTTGAGCCTGCAGGCACCTTTGGAATTCTGACACGGCATGTTGGGTGCTGCAGCTTACCTTCAGTCACATAGAAAAAAAATCTGTGAGCTATGATAGCAGCAACATTTTTAAACATCTGCACAGCCAATTAAATCTCCAGTGGCCAGTCAGAAGCCTCGCCAGGCAAAAGCTTCACCTGGCCCCACCCACTTTTTACAAACGTGGCGGGTACCAGGGAAGGTATCAGCCTGTGCCATGGTGCCCAGGGGCACCACGTTGGAGACCCCTGGACTAAAGTCTCTCTTTTAAAACCTAACTTTTTTCCAGGAAACCTTTTAGTCTTCGTCCTCTTTCTTTCCTCCCTTGGTTGAGTCTCCCATGATTGAAAAAGTGGGACGCTTGGGACATGTGTTGGTTATTTTTGCCTGCTAAAGGTCCTGTATTAGAGCATATTAAGAATTTAGTGTGTACAGGCTTTTCGCTTATACAGAGCTCCCCATCCACCAGAGTGAAATCAGAGCTATCAATAACCCCGTGGATATTCAAAGTCATATTCTGTGTAGAGTCCTTTTTCTGAGTGAAGCAATCAAGAGGGAGCCATGGCTCAGGGGAAGAACATTAGCTTTGCAGGCTGAAGGGTCCCAAGTTCAGTTCCCAGCATCTCCAGTTAAAGTGCTTAGGTGATGCGGGCTACATCTCACTGAGACCCTAGAGCAGAAGTGTCGAACTCATTCGTTATGAGGGCCGAATCTGACATAAATGTCACTTTGTCGGGCCGGGCCATGTGTGCCATAAAACAAAACACCAGGTACCGGAGATATAAACTGTATAAAGGACAGCAGCTGGTAAGCTCCAAGTTGTTGTATTCTTACTGCAAGTTCCCATGGGCTGGGAGGGGGGTGCAAAGGAAAACCCACATGGGCAGATTGGAGATTCAGCGGTGCAGCACTGAGCAGATGCTCCCACGTTGCTTAACTGTTGCAGGCAAGGTTGTTCCACCATGCTGAAGCCATAATTGGAGCGGCTCCGCCCACTCCCCCAAGCAGTCTCCTGTTCCCTCCCTTGCACTTGTTGCTCGCAGGCCACATAAGAGCCCTGGATGGGCCGGTTCTGGCTCCCAGGCCTTATGTTTGACACCCCTTCCCTAGAGAGTGGCTTCCTGCCCAAGTAGATGCTACTGACCTCAAAGGACCAACAGTCTGACTTGTTTGAAGTGAACTTCATGTGTTCAAGTGGTGGGTCAGATTCATGCTCTTGTGAAAGCTGCTTTTCTATTCAGCCCCATGAAAGGGGTTTGGCTGTTATTTGCGTAAAGTATTAGAGCTTTTCCCCCTCTTTCTTTCTTTCTTTCTTTCTTTCTTTCTTTCTTTCTTTCTTTCTTTCTTTCTTTCTTTCTTTCTTTCTGGATTTCTTTCTTTCTGGATTTCTTTCTTTCTGGATTTCTTTCTTTCTGGATTTCTTTCTTTCTGGATTTCTTTCTTTCTTTCTTTCTGGATTTCTTTCTTTCTGGATTTCTTTCTTTCTGGATTTCTTTCTTTCTGGATTTCTTTCTTTCTGGATTTCTTTGGAATTCTAGCCTACAGGAAGAAAGCGGGAGGCCCGTCGCTTCAAACAAAGAGCTGGATTGTGCTGAGCTTGTCCTTGACGTCTCTCCCAAGACACAGAGAGTCATTTTAAAGAAAAAGGTACGAACTTCTAAGAATGTTACTTGCCATCCCAAACGAAGTGACAGTTTGGTGTCAGAGTGATTTAAGCAGTATTCGGGAGTAGGGCTGTCAGGTCCTCCCTGGCCACCGGGCAGTTGGTTGGGTGTGGGTAAGGCTGTCAGCTCCAGGCTGGGGAACTGCTGGAGATTTGCGGGTGGAGCCTGGAGAGGACGGGGACCTCAGTGGGGCATAATGCCATAGAGTCCACCTTCCAAAGCAGCCCTTTTCTCCAGGGGAGCTGATCTCTGTAGTCTGGAGAGGAGCTGTAATTCCAAGGAATCCCCATGTCCCACCTAGAGGTTGGCTTCCCTACCTGGGAGACATTACGATTCCCCTCTGAACAAGGAGCGGAATCGATGCTCGGTGTAGAAAGAGAGAGGACAGTAAGCGCAAGCATAGCTCCCATGTTATTCCTGAGCTGGTCCCGTAATATACCTACAATTGGACGGCTCAGTAAATTAAATTGTGCTTATTTGAGCTTGAAGTCTCCTGGTTTGGGATCTGTTTGTGTATCTGGCAGATCACGTACTTGTTCAGATTCTGCAAACCTAGAATACGTCTTGAGGAACCCAAATCCATGCACCTACCTTGGCTGTGCAGAATACACAAGCAACATGCCAAGCGTGCCCCATGAATAAGACGGCTCTAGCTTTTTTGAGCAAGGTTACGAGCAGTGTTCCCTCTAAGCTGTGCACCTGAGCGGCCGCTCATTAACACAGGAAGCCCCGCTCAGCAGCAGCCTGGAGCCTCACAGGGTCCTGCGCTGCTCAATAGGGAAAGAAATGGGAGGGAACTGTAGTTACAAGTATCTAAAATGCTGATACGTTTGGAGAAAAATAGATGCGGTCGAGGAATCGGAACTCTTAGGTGGGATATTAGGGGGAACCTTATCCATTCATTGTTGAATTACTCGTTTATGAACTTCTGAAGGCCAAACTAGATGTTACAGCAGCCGCGGGTTTTGACATCAGCACCATTTCAGAGAAGATTTTGTCCATTCAAAAAATTGCGGCGGGGGGGCCACAATGCAGCACAGGCAGACCAGGTGACCTTGTGAGCCCTTCAAGTATCAGAAAAGCCGGGGGGGGGTGTATAGGATCCGGCCCCCACGATGTTACAGCAGCCGCGGGTTTTGACATCAGCACCATTTCAGAGAAGATTTTGTCCATTCAAAAAATTGCGGCGGGGGGGCCACAATGCAGCACAGGCAGACCAGGTGACCTTGTGAGCCCTTCAAGTATCAGAAAAGCCGGGGGGGGGTGTATAGGATCCGGCCCCCACGCCTCACTAGGAATAAGGGAAGGACTCCTATATTAACAAACAATAACCACCATGCCCAGCTCCAACACCTCCTTAGAGATGCACTCTTAAGATTTAATGGTAGCATAGCCAGCTAGACACGAGGATTTAAGGCTTGGAGATCAGTTACCCATCAAACAGACAGTATTTAAACAAGAAATAGTTTTATTTATCACAGAACTTAACACAGACTACAGAAAGTACTGAAAACAAGAAAAACCTAG